GTGTTTTGCTGTTTTGAGGCATTTCTGTGTATCAAAAACGTTGCCATATTCAATAAAACTAATATCGAAGAACACTTTGTTTCGGTAAATGCTCTTTATATCTATCTTATTTAAAGGGTTTTGTTGTAAACGTCGAACAGATGCAGGATTTATAAATTTATCAATGACGATACTGAAAACAAGGAAAATTATGACACACTTTTTTTATGACATTCAATAACTACTTATCCAGTAAGAATAAATTTTACAGAATACCTTGACTTAAGAAAAGTTCTTTCCATTTATAGAAAGTGGTTGCTTCAAGTTTTCAAATCAACACAATATCTAAATTTCTTGTTCTAATTTACAGCTCTTTTTTACGTCTCTAGAACCACAGGGTTATCGGGAAAATTTTATTTTTCTTTACAAACACTTAGTAATTCCTATAGTTCTTTTAAGTACTTACTATGCCTAATGCAGCTCATTATTACTTCTAAATCTTCGTAAATGCATTCACACTGGTACTCGAGTAATGATCAAACTTAAACAAAGTTATGAAAATTGCGTGGTCTTTGGCGAATACTGTATTTTGTGCACACAAGTAGGCGTTTATGTCTGCTTAAATATAGGTGAACATGGATGGGTATTTTACATGGCTGAAAAAGTTGACTAAATTCCGCAAAAAGGTAAAATATCTTTAATATCCTTTACGGAAAATATAAACGAAAATATTTATGTATTGTACTCGTTTTGTAGAAAAATACGACTCTTTAACTTTGATACTTAAATAAAGGGTATCTTACGGTCTTAAAAAATTCCTTTTTATGAGTTTTTTCACGACTGTGAGGTGTTTATTTACAATACATCGCATCCGTCACTTTAGTAGTGCTGCCTTTAATGTATACAACGTTTTCCACATCTGCTGCAATATTTTATGAGAACTTTGTGCCTTCTTCTTCAAAACATAGGTGAAAACGTACTTTTCCTTAAGAAGATGTACAGAGAGCGCCGTTTATAAGCCTCGAAAGCAAGTGTGCATTCAGTGTGTTTCACGATTTTTCGGAAATTTGGAAACTTTTTAAAACCAAAAGATACCTTTTAGTTAAGCATAACTTTTAAAGAATGGGTAATTACATATGAAACGAGTACAATAAATATTTTTTCGATGATAAAAGGGTATACTTATTAAGTAGCTACTTTTTACAGTACATTCGTTCTATTGGCGATCGGAAAAAAGTACGTTAAAAAGCCAGCATCCTATCGTGACTGAACTGGCTTCATAATGAATACATTATAATCAGTATTACAGCCTTACTCAATGCCGATTATCGAGTGAATATCAATCTTTCGTATAAGTTGAATTTTAGGCCGTATTACAGCTACTAACAGGAAGGCGGACCTGTGGCGTAATGGTAAAGCACTGAACTTAACACTCAATAATCAAAGAACCCCCGATCGAATCCCAGGTTATTCGAATATAGGGTAAAGATGCCTAAAAGTAGTCTATAAACATTCAAGGATAACTTTAGTAAATAATCCTGTTCGCGTATATAGTAGATGATAGGGCTCACTTCTTTGACACAGAAATAAGTTCTGCGCAAAATTTCTGGAAGGTTAACATAAGCGTAAATCCTAATTCTCATCTTAAACTTAATCCTACCGGAACCTTTAACCTAACCACCACCTTAAGTCTTACTGCAAACTTAGTCCCAACCTTAAAATTAATTTCCATGGGGTTTGGTGCAACTCCGCCTTTCTTGTTGGAATAGTGTGCTGTTTTTTTAACGTTCACAAACATTCTAAATTATACTAGATAAGCGTACACCGATCTGTATATTCCTGATCAAGAACCGATAAGACAGCGAGCCCCTGGCTCAAAGGTTAGGAAGTTTGACTCTGATCAGAGAGGTCGCAGGTTCGAAAGTCGAGTGTGGCAGCAATTTCAGTGGCAACACTGGAGTTGGGTATCGCTAGCTGACGACGGCTACTAAGCCAAAAAAGCTATCTTAGCATCCTTCTCTCTTTGTCGGTAATACATAAAAAAATTCTAAACCGTGTTTTCGATTTATAAGGACTGCCTATATAGGGTCAAAAATGAAAGTATTCCGTAGCATGTTTCCCAGACAAAACCGATATGTCGGCTTTTAAATGAGTTGCTTTTCAGCAGCTGCTGTGGAAGCCTACTAGCATTGTAAACTACGAAACAGTCTAATCCGATCACTGGAACAAGTAGTTTATTTTTCGCCTCAAGTCTCGGATGTCCTCGCGCATTACTAATCAGAGACAATAGTAGACACGTGTAATTCAAACACAGGGAATTGAACCATTAATAGGATACAGTCGCTATGCTATTGCATACCTGCGACAATTACTGACTCCTCCCGTCATCGAGGATTTTTGACCCGCTTATGCCCTGATTGGTTGACGACGAGCCTGCAGGTCGTCACATGCTGAACATGGGCGTGTGGGATACGAAGTAGTCCGGCCAGATAATAGACGATAGAACGTATCCCAATAGTTATAAACTAGTTAATAATATAAGGCATGGAAGGCCAGGGTGTTCAGGATAAGTTACTTAAGTGTGGAAGGAGTTGAACACGAGTAATGGGGAAGCGACTCCCAGACGAGTGCAAGTCCAGCCATGAGCGGGCCGCTCTGGGAGTGTCTGATTGTAAACAATCCCCCGCACTATGGTCCTTTGTGGACTGGCCTTGATAAGTGGTTAGCCACTGTGGCCAGACACGTCCGTGACCTTGACATGTCTAGCGTGCACGCACTGGCGCGCACGAGAGACAGACATGCGGGACATGCATGTGTTAGAATACAAGGTCGCTAGAGGCGTGAGGATTGCTCGGCATATCTGACTCCCTCGCTCTGCTGTTACAGGAAGCGTTTTTATTGAGCGGTGGTTCTGACTGAGATGTATGAGAGGAGACTGGGAATATAGGCCGTCTGAACGATCGATTTCTTCTCAGAGAGGCTTGGAGTGATGTCATTGAGGACGAGCTCCTCATGGTCGCAGAGGATGTCAATCAGGAAGTGGGAAGCTTCTGTGCTTGAACCGATGCTAAAAAGATTTTCATTGATTGCAGTCACTGAAGTGTAACAATAAGTCTCCGAATGTCAGAAAAGGGCTGTTTTATAGAGGCAGCCATTGAATAAGTATCTAAGTCCTGCGATGAGGCCAGCAAAAAGGTTGAGAAAATCAAGTCGATTAAAAAGTCGTGCTGGCAAACGATCGCTTTGGTCATTCATTGTCAGTCCAGCGACATGGGGAATGAAATTGGTCAATTAATTACAGCGTTTATATAATCGTCAGGATGGGGAGGGGGCAGGAAAAGAGTGAGGGTAATTAAGCAACTGGGTTTTCCCTCGTCTCCTGAATGCGGGCGCC